GAAATATTTGCACAGAAACATAAACACTTACCAAATTTATCAAAACCCTAAAAATAAAGTTAAATAACTTGCTAATTGTGCAAGTATATGATCTAAAAATAATATGACATAATCATCAAGAGATAAGGTTTCATATAATCAAGTCAAGGATATAAGTTAATTAGTTAGTTTTTGAGTTATAAGCCAAGTTCTTAGGTGTGGAAATATTTTTGTCACCCACCTGTATATATAAAATAAAATACAAAAAAAAAAAAAAAAGAAGGTAAAATGTGAAAAGCCGAGGCTTCTTCCATGACTCTGATTTATCTTGTATTATGTTATGTACTTATAGCAAGTAGAATGCGCCACACCATAGCGTGGGCCCGTACTTGCTATTTAATAGAAAGTAAATTGTGAAGAAGTACGTGTATGGATGGAAGTAGAATGCGTGTGGGCTTGTACATGCTACTTAAATAAGAAGAAAGAAGCACCTTTTCATCAATACTCATAGGGTAGCAAGTAGAATGCGTCGCACCATAGCATGGGCTTGTGCTTGCTGCATTAGAAAAAAAAAAAAAAGTATTTATCAGTTGTCATTGGATAGGTATAACGTGTTTGTTTCTAGTACATGTGTAGCAAGTATAATGTGCTACACCATAGCATGGGCTCGTGCTTGCTGCTTTAAAAAGAAGGGGGAATTATGAATTCGGTAAGTAAAAGCAAAGGAATGGATCAAAAATGAGTGTGTACCAGTGGGTCGAACTAAATAAAGAGGCAAGATAGGAAGAAGAGCGGAAGCAAAAATGGCAGAAGGAGCTAAGGAAGTAGAAGAAGCCAAAGAAACCAATGAAGGGAAAGAAGCCAAAGAAGTCTGAGAAGTCTGAGAAGCCGACGAACCTGATGAAGCGGAAGAAGCTGATGAAGCAGAAGAAGCTGACAAAATAGAAAAAGCCAGAGAAACAAGAAGCAGCAGGAAGAAGCAGATGTATAAGAAGCAGAAAAAGTAGAAGGAGCGGTAGAAGCAGAACAGAAATGAATATATCAGGGTGGCCTCCAAAGTCTGGGTCAATGATCAATATCGGATTAATTGATGTCACTGCCGCAGCAGCTGCAGCATATATTTTATTTTGTTAATAAGCAGACAATTGTGATGTGCAGTAGCAGTGATATCGATCATCAACCCGAACTTTGGGGGCCGCCCTGATATATTCGATGGGAAATAGGCATTGGGTCTTTGTTAGGGTTAGGAAAGCATTATCATAGTGCATCATTTACATGCTCGAGTTTCAATTCTCCTTTGTCTTCGTCACGTGACCAGCATGTGATATCTGATTAAGTTGTAGTTGTTTTTATATTTGAAAGTATATATATTAGCACAGTGAGCCACAGTGTAGCACTACTCCCATATTGTATCTTCATCAATAAAGTTAATCCGAGTGAGAATAATAAATAAATTCGTTCATTAAAATTAAAAAAAAATTTTAATATTTTATGTGTTCAAAAATAATTTCATTAAATGGTAGTGTCCTTTAATTTATTTATGATATTTTATTGACAAATTTTGTTAGTTCATGTGTTTGTTTAATTGAGTGCTGTAATTAAAAATTGTTTCTTTTTTTTTTACAAGATTTAGATTCGGTAGTCATTAGATTCGTACTTTTTAATTTTAATGATCAGCAAATCGAATATTTAGCAATATCACACAAAAAAAAAATTAAAATTCTTATAAATTCTGTGTCCCTAATTCTTACTTATTAAGAGCTTCTGAATTAAAAAAAATAGCACATTTCAGAAATAAGTGGTATCTAAAAAAATCATACTTCAAAATTTTGAATCAAAAATGAAATAGGAGTGTTTAGAGACTCCCATTTAACGAAATAAATAAACTTTTCAAAGACAAAAATCATTATTTGAAGGTCTCAAAATTAACAAATGAGTAATCCATTTCGAAAATAAATAGGATTTTTTCAATAGAGGGTTTCAAAGTTAACAAAATGAGTGGCACATTTTGAAGTTAAATGAGAGTTTGAAAAATTTTATTTGTATTTCAACATTTTAAAATCGAAAAATGAAATGGGAGTGTCTGGAGATTAGAGATAGAGATAGGCAAGGTCATTGAATGCATTTTTACTTATAATTACTAAATATTACTTTAAATTTTACGTAATAAGTACAATACTGTAGACTTATTATTATTATTATATGTTTGTATAGGTTATATTTAGGATTTAATTTTTTTGTATCCTATTTATGTATTGCAATACTAAAAGACTTTTCAAATTTGATAGTACATATATTATGTATAATGAAAATATAATTAAAAGGATTGTTTATAGATTTTTTGCTTTAAATTATAATGTAACTATTTATACTTTTTTTTGTTTTTAACAAAACTTAAAAATGCTAGTAGTATTTGTTATATTCATTTTTAATTGTGATATATACTATAAGAATTTTAGTTGAATTTTTATGTTTCTAAAGTGTAATGTTATTAAATTTTTCAAAAAGAAACCAATTTGCCAAATCTCATTTTCACTTTTATTGTTATTTCTATTTCCAAAATTAAAAAATTTAATATTTGATATGACTGTCTAAAAATATTCAGAATCAGCAGATCTAGGAGATATAAATATTATACATGCAGCAAAAATTGACAATTCAGACATTTTATTTTGAAAATTGTTTCAAAAATATACTGATTTATTGATTAAAAAATTATCCTAGTTACCCTCAAAATCAAAAGGATAAGTTCTATTATATCAGTCAATTAATTGCCTTTGAAATACTTTAACTTTCTTATCAGAAAATAGGCACTCAAATAAACAACTTGCTTCTTTTTTTATAATTGTAATAAGCTCTAGATAAATAGCCTTTTCAAGAACATATTTTGGGTAAAGTAACCAACAAACAAGTAAAATTGGACTATATATTTAATTTTATCTATGTTGAATATGTGTATTAATATAAAACTGAAAATTATCCAACATGTCCTATGTGCACACTGAACGTTTTTCATATATATTATTCAATCACTTACTAATTATGTGATAACTCAATTTTTGATCACTTCATATTTAAAATACACAATTTTCGGCCATGTTTATAAAATAAAGCTAAGTGTTTATTAATTTGCAATTAATAATAAATCAGTTACATTTAAAGATCTAATTAATTTTCAAATCTATTTTTAGATTGTAACTTTGTGAAATGGCACTAGAAGAAAGTTGAATAACGATATTATTAACTGCAGATAATGGTTTTCGACGTTTTCTATAAGAAGCTAATAACGATGAATTAGGAAAACAAGGAGGTTTAAAAGGTGCCATCACAGAAGAAGAAGGATGAGTTTGAGTACAGAATTTTAATTTAGAAAGTCTTGAGGTCTTTACTTTATTTGGATTTTGAATTTGGGGTGAAACTTGATTTGCTATATGAACTTTAGTTGCTTGTGCCATAGGAACTTCAGTTG